CGCCGACAATGTCAGCGGCACCTCTTTGTAGGGGGTACACCACCACGCTCAGAGGTGCATGTGCACCCACATGCACCCCCTACACGGCTCCCCCAGGCTGAAGGGAGGGAGTTCCATAATAATCATATAGTCATTACAAAAATATGGCCAGCATGCAAACCTTGTGCTCTCACTGCTACCCTTAAGACTCCCAATGTATATGCCCAGAACACACACCACCTTAATCCATGATACTTTCTCCCTTATTACCTTTTCTAAATAAAGACAGTAAATATAAATGTCATTCAATAAATGCTCTCCCCTCTGGTGCATGAAAGGCAAGGAAGTTTCCATGGAGCTCCTGCCCTCCTTCTCTTTAATAGAAACCATGTGTCCTGCGAAAAGAATAAATGTAAGGGAGACAAATTCACATTTTCCAAATATGAAATGGGGGCAGAGGGAAAACCAGTTGGCAGTTTTTTGGGTCATTAAAACAGCATTGGGACAGAGGTTGTCTGTCCCTTCCCCACTCTTGAACATGAACTTCAGGTGACCCGGAGAATTAACACGGCAGAATCTCCAGGGAAGCCCATTGGCTTCTGCCCCCTCCAGAGGGCAGGGGCACATCTAAGGGGGAGGTGCAGTTACACCCCAATTTGATTTCCTGCTCTACTCAAACTTTAAAACCAAATGTGCGGGCCGGGAACGACCCAAGCCCTTTTCGCGCTGCACGCGGGCTGTGGCCAGCAGCCCGGGCACGCCGGTTCGGAGAGGGAAGGCCTTCGAGCTGGAATTAGGCACAGACGCAAATCGGTAGTTTTAAAGATTGTTTACTTACACCGAGATGGCAGTGGTGCAGGCTGGAAAGCTTGATTGAGTTGCAGTTACAGACAGACAACACAGACGGTCTCGTGGAGGTTGCTAGGCTCCACGGTGCAGAGCTCTGGATGCTCTGGGTGAACGAGCCACCAAAATAGAAATCATAAATACGTCTTATAAAAGTCACGTTCGAAGACGGGAAGAGGTGGGCGGCGGATCAGGCTGCCACGCTCCTCTGGATCTCACACAGGGTTTCTATTACCCTGCCGTGTACCCAGAGTCCCCACGAGATGAATGTGGAGTCCTCTTCGGCTTGGGCGGAAACCGCACAAGCCTCTTATACGGCTAACAGGCCAATCACTAGCCGCCACGTGTGAATAATTTAGCACTAGCCAATCACGGGGAACAAATTTGCATACCGGTGGCAGGAACTCTTTTGCACCGTGCATTCCTCTTGCAACATGAGCAATGCACCCTGCAAAAGAAGTTGCAGAAAAGGCGGGAAACTCGTCCCTGCACCGGGGTTTCCTCTTGCTACAGGAAACTCTCCCGTGCAATGCTCTGCAACTTGGCGGAGATAATTCTGGTGCCGAAGCGCACACACAATCATGCCTTTTGGGTCATGACACCAAACATTTGGAAAGAGCAGCAGCTTCTCTGCCCAGGCAGCACTAATAGAATTGACTGACCTTATGGCTCATTATAGTCTATCAGATTCCTTCTAATCTCTCTTCACTCCACAGGTGTTAATGACCCTCACTCCTTTTTAACGGTCTTGATGTTCCATCATTCAAGCTATCCTTTCCTTTGTAATTGCCACCTATTAGCTATTCCCGAGTCTCTCTCTTATTTCACAGCAAACTATTTTTAGCTCTAGCCAAAAACCTCAACTCAGGTATGGTAATATTAAACTCAGGTGAATATTAGCTCAGGTGGGGAAATGACTGATAGTGAAGTATTGGAGGCACTGTTAAAATGCTCAAGAAAGCTACATTTTATTTTATAAATCTGAATAAGAGATGTTCAAGTTAACTATAATGACTACAAGACTAATGAAACAAATATATTTTGACTACTGTTTGTCCAGTTTGCTGTGTTTTTTTAAACTCAATATATAATCTAGCACAGGGAGGCCAAACTGTGGCATGGGTGACAACAGTAGTACAGACTGCCTCTGTGTGTGGTACATGGCAGACAGGAGAGGGCATAGTTACAGTGGCATATAGGGCAGGGAGAAGAAGGCAGAGCATTAGATTAGGCAGGGAGCACAGAGCAGGAAGCAAAGCAGCAAAATGGCGGAAGAGAAAAAGATCTGAGTGATAGTCAATGAGCATTCAGGGATAATTTGTGGCACACTTGCCAAACAGGTTGGCCCCTGAAAACAAGTGCAGATTCCAATAAAGTGACTTGTTTTTGCTTAGATATTAAACTAAATAATATAGTGCTAGATCCCTAGCATATTAGGAAAGCTTCTAGAATGTAAGAAGTGCTATACTAGGTCAGACCCATAGTTCATATAGCCTAGTGTACTGTTTCTGACAGCTACAGAAGTGGATGCTAGAGGGAGAGCACTGAACCAGACAGATGCAGGATGATCTATCCCCTACCCATTACCTTCTCTGATACCTACCATTATTGGTTTACAGATGTCAGAGGAAACATCTCCAACTCTTCTGTTCAACAGTTATAAACAGCTCTCATCCATGAATTTGTCTAGTCACTCTAGAAGCTAAGCCTGGATTAGCTTCTGACAATGCTATCTGACACTACCACTTCCTATGAATTCCACAAGTTAACTATGTGTTGCATAGTTCTAGTTTCTTTTTAACTGGAGAAGAATATGTGTTGCACCACAATATATGCACCCCCCCTTTTGCAAAATCTTAGATCTGCCTATTCCAGGGAGTGCTTCCTCAGGACTGGTAGAGACTTGTCTGGTCTCTGAGGACATTTATAGATGTGCTCTGGGAGCCAAGGGCACTTTAATTAGTGAGTCACACTAATTAAAAGTATTCAAGAATCATGTGCATCACTGTCCCCGAGCTGAAAAACGGTGGTGGGGCTCTTTGAACTAAAGCTATTTTTCAGCATGGGGAAACTGATACACGTGACACTGGAAGCTATGGGAGCACGTTCATTTCTGCATTCCAGCAGACTCAAATAATCAAGTCTGCTCTGACACGCTGAATTTAAAGCACACTGGAGCAGCCTTGCTGCACGTCTATAGGAGCCCTGAGGGTCCCCTGAAGCAGGCTTGGTTTCTAGAGTGAGGGTGAAGCCTAGGCTCCTGCCCACTTTGAGACCCCAGTCTTTTGGTCTCTTACCTTCCCTAGTTCTCTGTGGCCTTAACTCAAGGAGTGAGTATCCAGTTCCACACTGGAGAAAGAGACTTTACCTCTTCTTGGGGAGATTCCGTTCCAAGCAGCACAGCATAGCTGTCTCTGCAAAGGCATTTGTTGGGGCAAAAGCCACCCAACCAAAGTTCTCTGTCCCCTCCTAAAGAGTTAAGCCAGAAGCAGGCAAAATATGGCCCATGCTGGGCTGCCTCTCTTGCCAGCGCTCCCCACCATGCGCACACAGCTCCCACACTTGTGGAGCTTCCCTCCCGTGGCTCACATGTTGGAGCCGGCTGCCTTCCCCGCCTCCTGCCACTCCTGGGACTCCACTGGAAGTGGAGGAGAGCACCACCCCTGCTTCCCCACAGAGTCCAGGGACCTGTGCGGCAGGAAGTGGCAAAGGCAGCTGGCTCCAGGACATAGGGCTTCCTTTTTATGGAGTGCAAGTGCAGGGACTGCACGTGCGTGGCAGGGAGTGTTGGTGATACAGGTGGCCCAGCAGAGGCTGTGCTCCTCACCACTATACACAGTGCTGGCTGAAGCCACATGCCACTGGGCACCTGCACCAGGCATGACTGCCCCCACCTGCTGCTGCTGTGCCATAGGAGGAGTGTGGGAGGAGTCTCCACACCCCCCACCCTCCCTCACACCCCACAGATGGCGCACACCCACACCCTGCCCCCACAACCCTCCACATATACACACCACCCAACATACCCTATGCCCCACACACACATAGCCACACCCCCTCATAACCCCCCCTCACACACATACCCCCAGACAATATACAAGACTAAGAATTTATTTTTGAGTTATTATGCAATCACCTCTATATATGGTACAAAAATAAATCATGATAAAAATATTTTTTGTAATAAAATTAAAATGTTATAGTAAGTGTCTGACTTTTAGTGTATGTTTTTTTTTCTGGGTCTAAGATGGCAACCTTCCCTCCCAAAAGGAGTATTTCTGGGGGGAAGGGGGGGCAACAGGAGAGATTTCCAGTTGCAAAGGTCAGGGGCAGGACTTCCAGTCCTAAAATGGTGACCACGAGGCAGGGCAACTGTCAAGGAGTGGATCTATCCATGTGGCCCTTAAAAGCTCACCAAGCCTTGTTAAGCGGCCCACCCTTAGGCTAAGCAGTTCCTCCATCCTCAATCCAGCAGAGCCCTGAGCATCCCCAGCCTACACAACCCTGAACCCAGGGTCCCCAAAAACCAGAGATATTAGAAAAGTATGTGCACAGCCCAGTTACACACTTTGTTTTTAAAGATTTGGGGTGCAGTGAGCCCAAGATCAGGGAGATGATCCCTAGTATGAAACTCACCGCACCCACACCACCACCATCTGCTTCCAGGAGTTTGGGTAGGGATCTGATGGCCAGGAACTGATTCCATCCCAAGCCTGACTGGGTAAGGGACAGCTGGGGCTGCCCATGCTGGATTCTGATACTCAACTGAGCATTGGTATCTGTCATGGGCCAGCCCCAACCCAACACATATGTAGCTGTGTAGCACTAGAGCTGATATTAGCTCTCATTAAATTAAACAGCCTATGGAAGGAAAGATGACCTGCATAAGTTGCTGGGTAATTCCCAAATGAATTAAGTTACTAATTCTTGTGGCTTCTTCAAGCCACATCCCTACTGTCTAGATTATATGATATGCACAGAATAAGAGTACCTTTAAAAAGAACTGGAAATGTAGTTCAGGCCTAAAATTTGGACCTTTAAGAATTCTGGACCTTCAAAAATTCCCCCAAACTCGCCCACTTATTCCAAATCTACACATCATCCAATCCAATATTGAAAATGACAACAATTCAGAAATATTTCCTTGTATTAAGTATGTAAGTAGCATTACTTACCAGCTGCTTCAAGAACAAGCTGTAATCT